AGGTAATTGATTAAATTTCTGCTTCAAGTTTTAGGTTATTGCTTTCTTTTGTATTGATTAAGTCTTTTATTGTTGTAAACATCGTTTCGACAAAGTTTATGTTGCGTTTAAATAAATTCTTTTCAATTGTATTTTTGATAGAGTTGGGCGGTAGAACAATATATTTTTGTTACAGACGTATTCGTTATATATACATAAACACACACACACACACACACACACACACACACATACATATATATATATATATATATATATATATATATATATATATAATTATTTATTTAAAAATATGATTCCATCGCTACATAAGAGTTCTCCTGTTTTAAAACAAGAGGCGAAAACTTCAATTATTAGAATTAAATTGAATTAAAGTACCAAGCTCTGTTCCATCTTCAAATAAATAATAATTATATTTAGGCTCTACTTTTGTATCGAGCACTGTTTTTTAAAAATAATAACAAAAATACTAAAGAACTTTGGATTATTTACCTAACTTTTCACACACTATATATATATATATATATATATATATATATATATATATATATATATATATATATAAAAGAAATGGACAAAGTCCGACAATTTATTTATTAAAGACATGTTTATGTTTAACGTTCTTTTCATTGATACAAGTATTTAAGTAAATGCTCTGTTTATAATAAACAGTATTAAATAACATTTACCGGCCTGAATGTCCGAAACCTTTCCTTTACAACCGTCATTTCAAATGACGTCCTTTAAATGCAGGTTCGAATTCCGTAAAGGAACCGTCATTTCTATGAAAAACGTCACATTCAGGCCGGTAAATGTTATTTAATACTGTTTATTATAAACAGAGCATTTACTTAAATACTTGTATCTATAAAAAGAACGTTAAACATAAAATGTTATTTTATATATATATATATATATATATATATATATATATATATATATATATATATATATATATATATATATATATATATATATATATATATATATATCGTAATAGTTTAACTCTAATACACAAGAAATTATCAGCTAAGTTCAAAGGGTAAAGTCCAACATTATTGGAAAGTTTTATTCCAAGTTTTATCATTACCACTCCCAGAGGGGAAAAAAAAAAAATACCCAATTTTGGATAAATTATCCAAGTTTGAGAAGCAGTGACTTAACTCGACGTAAAGAGCTGGTCTTAATGTTTGCCGCCTTCCAGATTACTCATCCTCCAGGCTCGCGCATCGTACATTCTACCTCCACCCCACAAACCACCCTCATCTTCGCCTTTCCACCCCAACCTCTCTGTTCTCGAATTTCATCTCTTTCTATTCATTCATCCAACAACAACAAAAAAAACTGTTTTATTATGCTTTTCCACTTTTAACACTGCATTTAGACAGGAAATGTGTGATTCTGCCGAAACACTTGCCACGAAACTGAAATCGTTGCTTACCAACTTGTCTGCGAGTCGGAATTACAGGGATCCTCTTCCTTGGGTGCCCTAGTCGATAAAGACTCTTTACAGCTTTCAAATCTTTGCTATGCTATGACCGCTTTTTTTTCTTTTTTCTTCCTTTTTTTTGGGTTGGGTTCCTTTTATCAATTCACCTCAAACAAGGCGAAAACGCCACTAAGATGCAAGGAGGGGTTGCAGTGAGTAAAAGAGAATGACGAAACTTTAGAAGGAACCGGAAAACTAATCCTAAGTAGAAAACAAAGGATACACTTCTACCCATGTTCCAAAGATGGTTAAAGACAATGAACCAGACTAAAAGAGAACTTATCTACTCCTATAGAAAAAAAAAAAAAGTAAAAGAATATAATCTTGGTAAAGATATTGATTGGTTTCCTTTTGTTTGCACCCTGGATTTAAATTTAGGATTCTTCTGTTAGACTGGTTACCAACCAAGGCTAGATATCTCAGTCTGTTTTACTTCCTCACTCGTAACTGAGGACGGGAAACGATGTATTTATAGATAGATAGATATTAACAGACTGAGATAGATAAGCAGATATTAATAGACTGTGGTATATATATATATATATATATATATATATATATATATATATATGTGTGTGTGTGTGTGTGTGTGTGTGTGTGTGTGTGTGTGTGTGTGTGTCTATAATTGGTGACAGAAACCATTGGTTTATACCAACGGCTTCCCATACTTAATACTTCTCGAATTCACTTTCGCGTGGTAATGTGTGACGTCATGAGCTGCGGTGCGATTTTCGCTTCCAGCGTCTTATATGCACGTTTTGTTGTTGCTTGGAAATCATCCATGTAAACAGAAACAGGCTATCATCACTTTCTTGTCCGTGTATTGCTTAATATATTAGACTGTAATTGTCATTCTTTGATAATGACATATGTAAGCCGAAAGCTTAGATTTGCTTAAAAATATGGATCAATATTGTGATTTTCTTTCTTCGTTTAATGATAATATTAAGCTTATCAGACGTTATGAAAAGAATTTACATAGAATAAATAGACAACACTTGTCTATATTATTTAATGAAACATGTATGAAAATATATATATATATATATATATATATATAACAAACAGATAAGTAGGAACTGATTGTTATAGATAGATAGAATTAGCTACAGTACAATACTCAATATGGAGAAGAATATTATGGTTCATAACTAGAAAGTGTGGTGTGATACATCCAAAAATAAAAAAGAAATCTCGAATTGTAGAAAAAGTAAAAGTTGTCCCTTAAATGTGCAATGTTTGACTGACAATGCTGTATATAGTGCCACCGTTGAAGTAGCTCTGCCTGCAATGAATTATGTTGGTTCTACCGAGGTCACGCTTAAAACGAGAAACAGCAACGTAATACAACTACTATGTCTAGATATATTTGGAAAATAAAAGATTAACAGAAAAACCCATCCGAAGATAACATGTTGTGTAGTAAGCAAAAGTAGAAGCTATGTCGATGCTCAAGAAATTATGCAAATTGTGCCAAGTGGGGATGTTGGTGATTTTGATGTTTCCGAACCCAGGCTCGCTATTGTATAAGAAAGCGGTAATTATGAGGGGATGTTGACGTGAAAATAAATATTTAATAGCTAATATGGGACACGGATGACATCCAGGCCAAAAGAAAGAAAACTATGAGTTCTCCATATTTAAGGCGTAAATCACGAGCGACACAAGATAGAAATTGACCCTGGTCTGATGATCCTTCATTAAAACGGGTTTGCGCACACCCAAGCAAGGACGAAAATATTGCATTGTACATTTAACAGCGTTTACCGTAAATTTTAAACTTTGCGGACATATGTTTATATGGACTTATTTCCTTGTTTTGTTTTGAAGGACTCGTTCACAAAGTTTGTAAAGGTGGTACATGCACAAAGAAGATACACAGACACGCACGCACACACACACATACACATATATGTATGTAGATAGATAGATAGATAGATAGATAGATAGATAGATAGATAGATAGATAATGAACAAACTTAAATATACAGACAGATAGATATGAACAGACTGAGATAGATAGATAGATAGATAGATAGATAGATAGATAGATAGAGATAGATATGAACAGACTGAGATAGATCTCTATCTATAAAAGGAAGGATGTGTGTGTGTCTGTAACGAATGACTTTTCGACGGATTGGCACCAAAATTTACATGCACATGCTCCAAGTTAGCAAAAGCTAAGACCGACTTTACATTTCCCAACTCCCATCGATAGTAAAAATAATCGATTTTTTCATGCTTCTACGGCAGTTTTCATGTAGTTTATGGCTATTTTCTATATGATATAAGATGGCTGCCACGAATAGGCAGGAAGATTCTATTGGCCAACGTGAGAATCTACAGCTGACTCACGAATATTAAGTAGCATGCAAAAAAAAAAATCGATAGCTGCATTCGTCACAAGTGGGAAAATTTAAATCTGCATGGCACTTTACTCCAATTGGCTCATTCGCTTGCTTAAACTCAACGTTGATTCCAAAGCCGGGTGTGAAAAAAGGTTAACATTCTTTTTCATTCGGTTTTTCCAGTTACGATCCTTTTTAAAGCTGATCGTTTTCGTGTTCATTTTGTTTAGTTCTTATTTCGTAACAGATTTAATGTTTAGTATAGAGCTTAGAAAAAATTCGCAATAGGCAAGAAGTAAGGCATGTAGCAACATCAGCACGGCAAAGGGCACTCCTTTTAAAGGCAAGGAAGGGCAAAATATTTTTAAGTCAAGTGATAGCGATTGCTGTATGAGTCGAAATATTTTTGAATCAAGCACGAGCAACGCCGGGCCATGCTGCTAGTAGATATATATGAACAGACTTAAGTATACAGACAAATAGCTATGAACAGACTGAAATAGATAGATAGATAGATAGATAGATAGATAGATATGAACAGACAGATAATGTACAGACTCAGACAGATATTACCAAAGCTATGTACAAAGGTAGCCAGGCACGCAGATATGAATAATCTAGGCAATGCTTATCTACATGCCTTCATTTGTACAGCTCTATAACTCATTAACTCCAAGCCAAAGCCGAGGTGTCCCGTGTTCGAATATTGTTTTCTAGGCTTAGATTAGTTTAGTTACAATGTCACAGATATGGGGGGGTCTCCCAGTGAAAACCGAACTCATCTCTCAGTGTAGTTTAGTTTTGGTAGAAGGTGATTAATAAGGGTATTGGGTAACCTAGTGAAGGTCGAACTCACTGCCCAATAGTAATAATCAAGTAGACCGTCTTTTTAAACCTAGCTTAAGAATTGACGCGAAATGTCATTTTTCCATCTATCTACTCTCCACCCCAATAAGTCAATTTTCTCTCTCTCTCTCTCTCTCTCTCTCTCTCTCTCTCTCTCTCTCTTACTAACTCTCTCTGCCCCCCCACACACACACACTCATTCATATTTATATATACATTTTTCACACCAAGGTTTCTTTCTCTCTCTATCTCCTTTAATCTTTTAAATTCTTCTGGCTCCTATGATTATACTTTTTCCCGCTCTTTACGTTTCGATGTCTTCCCACCCTCTTTTTTCTTTTATACTATCTATCTATCTATCTATCTATCTCTCTATCTATCTATCTATCTATCTATCTCGTTTTCCTTTTCACTTCTTCACTGGTCTTCTATATCAGTATTACTCTTTCTCTTACACTTTCTCTATCTTCTCTTTCTGCTATCCTTCCAAAATCTATCAAACTATTGTTCTCTCTCTCTCTATCTATCTCTCTCTCTCTCTCTCTCTCTCTCTCTCTCTCTCTCTCTCTCTCTATCTATCTATCTATCTATCTATCTTTCTTGTTTTCCTTTTCGCTTGTTCATTACTCTTCTATAGCAGTATAACTCTTTCTCTTAAACTTTTATCTTCTCTCACTGCTATTCTTCCAAAATCTCTCTCTCTCTCTCTCTCTCTCTCGCTGTCTCTCTCGCTCTCTCTCCGCTCTCTCTCTTCGCCATTCTTTTATCCCTAGCTCTTTCTCTCACTTTCTCTCTTTTTTTTTCTCTCTCTCCCCACGGAAACCAACATTTTCCAATTGGCCGCCCGAATAAACTACGCAGCTCATGAAGTGGAGAATCTTCTATTTTTCGGATTTTGTCGCCATTCGTTAGCAAAAGGATCGCGCATGCGCTTTGTTGTTTACACGAGAGTTTCTTCCTGATCGTTCCGCGCCCGAATAGTTTCTGCTGGCCAACGAATACAATCGACTCTTTAATTGTCCTTTCACGGACAAACGTAGGAATAGCTTCTGCGCAAGGCGTACGAGACGGGGGAAGGGGGAAATCGAAAATCTGATTGACTTGATTTCCATGCTTAGGTGTAAGTAGGTAAGTGTCTTCCATCATTTGTCGTATCGGTTGTCACTAAATTCTCCTTTGTGTGTTGTGTCAACTCAGAACGTGGGAAATCATGACTCTCCACAACTTCCTACCCTTTGTAACATTTATTTACATTTTTTTTTTCTCAATAGGAGTGGATACGTTTGCCTTTCGTCCGGTACGCACTCCCTCCAGGTCTTTTGAACAGGAGTATATGTGTATCCGTTGTTTATTGTTTAAGGTTTCCGGTTCCTTCTAAGGTCTTTTCGTCGAGTGGCTCTTTGGCCTTGTAAAGTGTGAATATCGTTGTGAAAAAAAAGGAAGAAAGAAATGCCCTAAACAAGGTTTTCTCCTCTTACTCTTCTGCCGATCCCTGTTCTGCCAGCAATTTACACAAGCTCGTTAGGTAGGTTACTCAATGTTTCCCTCTGTCCCTGGATGATAATGGCTCTCCACAACGTTCTGCTATCCATATACACAAACTCGTTAGGTAAGTTACCCATTGTTTCCCTCTGTCCTTGGATGATTATGGCTCTCCACAACGTTCTGCTATTCATATACACAAGCTCGTCAAGTAGATTACTCAATGTTTTCCTCTGTCCCTGTAGGATTATGGCTCTCCACAACGTTCTGCTATTCATATACACAAGCTCGTTAGGTAGGTTACTCAATGTTTCCCTCTGTCCCTGGATGATAATGGCTCTCCACAACGTTCTGCTATCCATATACACAAACTCGTTAGGTAGGTTACTCATTGTTTCCCTCTGTCCCTGGATGATTATGGCTCTCCACAACGTTCTGCTATGCATATACACAAGCTCGTTAGGTAGGCTACTCATTGTTTCCCTCTGTCCCTTCAAGACATTGATGATTATGACTCTCCACGACGTTCTGCTATCCATATACACTCGTTAGGTAGGTTACTCAATGTTTCCCTCTGACATCAATATAATCCTGTGAGTAGCAAGCTCACCATGTTCTCTTTCCTGAGTGCGCATCCCAGAAGTTTAGACTGTCTCTTTCTTAATCTAAGTGTCCTCTTTGTTTATATTTTCCTTAAAACTTCCACATGTTCCGTCAATGATATTCTCAGTATCCTTCCGTAGAACCAAATCTCCTGCATAATAATCTATATGAATTAAGATTTGGTAAAAGTGAACAAATTATAAAGATTCAAATTATATTGGGCGCATTAGGTGAACAGGTTCTATTAATTAATCAGTCAGTTTCAGACAAAATAGGAACGTTTTTTGTTGAAAATTATTAATAAGATACGTCATGAGGATCGAGTGGCTACCAACTTAAAATGAACTTTTATTAACTTAAATAATTTACCGAGAATGGTAAATAATCACGCAACCTTTAAAACATATATCAAATTATTAATCTGCAAAGTAAGCGTGTATAGGAAAGATAGGCTTGTTTATCGCATGGTTGACGGTCCTCTCCGGCCTTACAAACAGGAGTAGATGTTTGTTCATTTTTCCCTGTTTTGAATAGGGTTTGCGGTTCCTTCTAAAGTTTTTGTTTTCAATCTCTTTCACTCTCAGTTGCCCCTTGCGTCTTAGTGGCACTATCACCTAGTTTGGGGTGAATTGATAAAACAAAAAAGTGATTAGAAATTATACTGTTCAAGTGATGAGCATTTTTCTGTTAAATATTTGCACGTATTCATGCGTCCGATGCCCAGTCCGCGTAGTAGGTATAAATAAAAAGAACTGCGTATCGAGTAATCACACCGGGTAACAGTTCAAGTAGTAGTCGGAGTAACAGTCTGAGTCAAAGTTGTAAGAGAAGGCATTAAGAATTCTTCCTGTGTCTCGTCTATTCTCTGTCGTAAGCAAGAAAAGAACAATTTTTATAAATCACTTTATTTTAAATAAACATTTTGAATATAAAGTTTATTTACTTTTTTCTTTTCTTTTACTTTGTGGCCGAATTGAATATGTTCAAGAGCAAGTTTTCAGCCATTCAACGTTCCACAATAGGAAATAACAGTTCAGAATATTTTTGTGGCTTCTACTGAAATTCTTTTGTTTTCAAATAAGTATTTACTAAATTTAGCCTAATTGTGACAGAAAACCACATTCATAGGAAAATCGCAGAAGACTGAACTCACAAATCATACTTATTATAAAACCCAGGTCGTGTGTGTGTCTGTTCGTTTATATATTGGATCGGATTTCCTACGTTTTTCAATCGATTTCAACAAAACTTCACAAGACTACGTAAAATTACCTTGCGGTGGTTCTGACGGCGCCAAAAATTGGAAAATACAATTGTTTTTGCACGAAATCAATTTGAAAACACGATTAAGAGACATCGCTGTCGGGGGACAACTCATATCGAGTTATACTTATTATAAAACCCAGGTTGTGCGTGTGTGTGTGTGTGTGTGTGTGTGTGTGTGTGTGTGTGTGTGTGTGTGTGTGTGTGTTCGTTTATATATGGGATCGGATTTCCTACATTTTTTAACCGATTTCAACAAAACTTCACTTTTTTTTTTTGGCAGATAGTGTTTCTTATTGTCTTGCACACTTTTTTCTTTATTTTTACATTCAGAATGCTTTAAAAGTTCCATTTACAAGACAATTGTTTATAATAAAATTCTATTCAATAGGTAGACTCATAACGATTGAAAACAATGTTTTTTGCTTGAGTTTGGGTATGACCAATTCGTAAAAAAAAAATTTAAAAAAAAAATTAAGACATGCGTGTCCGTCAACCTTAAACAATAATCTTTGTCAATTTTATTTTTCAGTCTTTATGATAGTCGATACTTGATCTATCTCTTACTGTTACATCCCCGGGCAACACCGGGCTCTACTGCTAGTCACTAATAATAGTCAAATAGATCAGTGATTATTACGGAGTAGGTAATGACTTCTCCAGTTACTGCGTAGTAGTAACTACTTATTTAAGACATTGCATACTGAGAAAGACGGTAGATTCGGAAAATGCTATTGAACTTCCAACGTCATGATTAAACTTCTTGGGCATATTTTGCGAATGGATCCAGAATGCCCAGCTAACAAAGCCATGGAGTTTTACTTTGAAAAGACTGATTTCAAAAAGTTCAGAAGTCATCCAAGAAACCACTGTAGTCACAACGCTGAATCGAGACATTCAAAGAACAAGGCAGAAAGACCCCACTTTTCATTTGGAGAAGTTTACAATCAAGGAAGATCTTCAACGAATCCGCCAACTCGCAGAGGACAAAGATGGCTGTCGAAATATTGTTGAATCAGTCTACAATGTCACTGAATATGAGAGAACATGTTAATTCATAACCTCATATCGAAACAGTTTTGATGATGATGATGATGATGATGATGATGTAAGCATGCCTCATTTGGGACGCTAAAAACAAAGAAAGAATAAATTTCTGTTTGAATATCTGTGATGAGGAGATAACATAATTTACATTATCTACGTTCGGACTAATGTCCTCATTTTTATAGTTATTATCAAAACGGTTTAGTATGTACAGTAGACTAGTGGATTAAAGATTTGTTTTGCAATTTTGGTAGCTTAGTAATTCTGAGTTCAATCCCTGGACCGAATAGTGCTGAGCTAGAGTCAGTGGAAACAGAACGGCGATAACCGAACAGTTCCAAATAAGAAGAAAACGCAATATCCCTAGATATGGTCAACAGAACAATGAAAATCTACTCCCGTGGAGTAAAGAAAGATTTCGGTTTAAAATTTTCCTGAATGTTACCCAGATCCGCAGACACCTAATGAAGCCCGGAAAAGACAACGCCCGGAACGTTGTGATAATAACAACAAAGATGGGGACAATAGTCTGCATGTAATGTAACTAATTAACGGTACTGAAAAGAACGAGATATACCATGATATGGACAGCTGAACGAGAAATATCTACCGACGTTGATGAAATACAGGGTTTTGATACAGTTTAAAATTTCCGGTTGTTTAAGCGGAACGACAGACACCTGAGGAAGCCATGGGAGCACAACGATTAAAATGCCAGGGTTTGGTTTGGTTTGTTTTACGGCATATCAACTTCTATGGGTTATTTAATGCCGTCAAGATTTTTATGGCTGGTAATATTTTTATCTATCTATCTATCTATCTATCTATCTATCTATCTATCTATCTATCTATCTCAGTATATATCAGTTTGGTTTGTTTTGTTTTACCGCATATCAACCTCTATGGGTTATTTAATGCCGACAAGTTTTTTATGGCTGGCAATATATATATATATATATATATATATATATATATATATATATATATATATATATATATATATATATATGTGTGTGTGTGTGTGTGTGTGTGTGTGTGTGTGTGTGTCAGTATATCAGTATATATTGTTTTGGCTTGGATTGTTTTACGGCATATCAACATCAATGGGTTATTTAATGCAGACACATTTTTTTATTGCTGGCAATATTTTTTATCTATCTATCTATCTATCTCAGCATATATTGGTTTGGTTTAGTTTGTTTTACGGCATAACAACATCAATGGGTTATTTAATGCAAATACAGTTTTTATTGCTGGTAAAAAATTTTATCTATCTATCTCAGTATATATTGGTTTGCTTTGGTTTGTTTTACGACATATTAACCTCAATGGGTTATTTAATGCCGACAAGATTTTTATTACTGGAATTTTTTTTTTT